GAGTATCTTCTCATGGCCTTTCTTTTTGTCTTCTTCTTCTGGGACTCCTATGATTCGAATGTTGGGGCGTTTCACATTGTCCCAGAGGTCCCTGAGGTTGTCCTCATTTCTTTTGATTCTTTTTTCTTTTTTCCTCTCTGCTTCATTTATTTCCACCATTTTATCTTCTACCTTACTTATCCTATCTTCTGTCTCTGTTATTCTACTGTTGGTTCCCTCCAACAGTAATAAGTAATAAGAACCTAGAAGAAATAAAAAAGAGTCAATTAAAAATGAATAATGCAATAAATAAGATCAAAAACACTCTGAAGGGAATACCACAGTTCAAAAGCATCAATTCTTCAGCACTCAGCTTTCTTTATAGTCCAACTCTCACATTCATACATGACTACCAGAAAAACCATAGCCTTGACTAGACAGACCTTTGTTGACAAAGTAACATCTCTGCTTTTTAATATGCTGTCTAGTTTGGCCATAACTTTCCTTCCAAGGAGTAAGTGTCTTTTAATTTCATGGCTGCAATCACCATCTGCAGTGATTTTGGAGCCCATGAAAATAAAGTCAGCCACTGTTTCCACTGTTTCCCCATCTATTTACCATGAAGTGATGGAACCGGATGCCATGATTTTAGTTTTCTGAATGTTGAACTTTAAGCCAACTTTTTCACTCTCCTCTCTCACTTTCATCAAGATGCTCTTTAGTTCTTCTTCACTTTCTGCCATAAGGGTGGTGTCATTTGCCTCTCTGAGGTTACTGATATTTCTCCAAGCAATCTTGATTCCAGCTGTGCTTCATCCTTAGGCTATAGTAATTTTTAACTTGATGCATTTTAAAATTTCTGAAATGGTTTCTATTTGTAGTCTTGACTTCCTTTTTGAATTAGGAAATATTTAGTAAGTAATATAAGGTAATATATGTATTATAATGGTTTCCCAGGTGGCTCAGCAATAAAGAATCTGCCTGCCAATGCAGGAGACATTCAGGTTTATTTGCTGGACTAGGAAGATCCCCTGGAGAAGGAAATGGCAACCCACTCCAGTATTCTTGCCTAGAAAACCCCAGGGACAGAGGAGTCTAGTGGGCTACAGTCAATGGGGTCGCAAAAGACTCTGCCACAACTGAGTGACTAAACAGTGACAATAGCAGCTGAGAGACAGATAACTCTGGCTGCAGGTGGTGGTAGAATATTCAGTGGTGATGTCCCTGACAACACCTGTTGTTCCAGCCATTTGTGATATGGTTGTGCTACAACATTCAAGACACTCAAGAATTCTAGGACTGAACACACACACACACACATACACACACACGCGCGCGCACACACACATGTCCCTTAGGTAATCATTAACTGGGAATCTTCATTGCTGCCAGTGAAAATTATTTTTATCATACTAATTCATACATATGCTGATATTATACCAAATTATATCAATTATTGGATAACTTTGCAAGTTTTTAGATTTTTTTCAGAGAAAAATTATCATTAAACAAGGTAAATATAATGGACTGTTATAAATATATAAACCATTTTTCCTTTGTTAAATAATACTAAAATTCTTTTCCTTTTTCTATTATAGATGAAAAGAGATGACTTCAGTAACTTTTCTATTATAATTCAGTGTGAAGCTGGCTTTAAGCTATGTTTAAATACAGCTCAATGTGATGGGCCTCCCTGAGGCAACTGACATTTCAAATTGTGATTCTTTTCACCCCAAAAGCAAGAATTTCTGCTCTTTCCTGTAGTTGGAGCTATTTAAATGAAATTAGCTTGAGAGGTCAGAATCCAACTGTGACTGCTTAGATTCTTTCATTTGCATTACAAATCATTTGAAGGGAATGAAGCGACTGACTAAAAAATACTGAAGATAGACAAGAGTAAAGCATTAATTTGAATTCTCTCAGTTTTGAACATCTGATCATCTAGGCATAAAGAATAAAAGACACCTGGAAAAATAGTTTATAATGGAAATCAATGAGATTTTGTTGTTGTTCAGTTGCTGTCATATCCGACTCTTTGCGATCCCATGGACTACAGCATACCAGGCTCCTTTGTCCTTCACCGCCTCCCAGAATTTGCTCAAATTCATGTCCACTGAGTTGGTGATGCCATCCAACCATCTCATTCTCTGTCAGCCTCTTCTCCTCCTGCCCTTAATCTTTTGGTCTTTTCCAAAGAGTTGACCCTTCACATCAGATGGCCAAAGTATTGGAGCTTCAGCTTCAGCATTAGTCCTTCTAGTAAACATTCAGAGTTCATTTCCTTTAGGATTGACTGGTTTGAGATTTTTACAGGAAAGATTAAACTAGTCATTAGAACAAACTTTCTAATCAGTATCAGCACCTGAGAAGTAAGTACCAGTTACATGATGCTCAAATAATTTTATGACTTACAACTCTGCCTTGTTTTCCATGCCAGGGAATAAAAGAAGTGAGTATTGGTTATTTGGTCTCAAGCAGTTGTTCTGATGGTCAGCATCACTGATTTAGTGGAAACTTGAAACCAGATATTGCATATTACTCCCACTTCAACA